GGAGATTTCTTGGCCGCTGCCTTCTTCGGAGATTTCTTGGCTGCTGCTTTCTTAGCGGCGGGGTTCTTGGGTGTTGTGGCCTTCTTGGCGGCTGGTTTCTTTGCCTTTGCGGGAGCCTTCTTCACCACCTTCTTGGCTGGTTTGGCGGCTTTGGGCTCCTTCTTGGCGAGCTTGAAGGACCCGGATGCTCCGGTTCCTTTAGTTTGACTAAGAGTTCCCTTCGTCACAAGCTTGGTAACGGCGGTGTTGATGCGCTTGTTGGCCTTGGCCACATCGACGCCTTTCCCGGCCAGAACCTTCTTGAGAGCCGCCACAGACATCCCCTTGCGCTCCTTGGAGTCGGCCACGGCAGCCACGATGAGTTTAGCGAGGCTGGGTCCATCTTTCTTAGCCTTGGTAGCGGACTTCTTCTTCGGGGCTTTAGCCGGAGCTTTAGCCGGTGCGGCTGCTGGAGCTACTTCTGCCATGATTCTCAGCAAATGATGGAGTCTCGAGCGCAAGGCGGAATTTATAACATCCATGAGAACCGTGAAGAGACAACTCAGCCGGCTGGTCTGCAGCCGCCTGAAAAGCGTCTCCTTTTGTGTTTTCTTCTCCACGTTTTAAGCTTTAAATATTTGCCAACTTTATATTTTTTATCATAAATGTTACTGTAACAGAAAGAGAACTGATTTCTCTCTAGACTAGGGTCATATTTGTTTTTTATTTTTTCCCCAGTAACTTTCAAACCTCTTTGATTTGCGATGATTTACTACAGCTGGTGGGGAGTTTTTTCTACATTTCATTCTACAAAACAACTAAAATAAGTTTGTATGGAGTATATTTAGGATGCCTCCGTTAGCAGAGGCATGTGAAAATAAAAGAACAGAAAAATAATTGTAATTGTGGGATTTGATGAGTAATTAAAAGGGATTTTTTTGCCGGAAATAAACACACAAATAAGGATTCGTTTCTTTAATGTGTCTGCTTGAACATATTGCTTGTCTCATTCAATTTTTTATGAAAACTGATGATTTTTGAGTACAATGTAAGCTCTTCTCGATGAAGAAATTCACCAAAGCAGTGTTTGTGATTTAATCTCTTTTTCACTTCCATAAATTATGTTTAACTTGATGTACATGTAGCAGTTTCCATCTGTTTCTTCTAATTCAGCAAAGCTTTGGGACCTTGTCTGTAGTTTATTAATAAAATTGTATGTTTAAACATAAATTTGATGGCAATTGATCCGAATAAGGGACAATGAAGAATTAAAATATTAATAACCTAATCATAGTAATACACCAGGCTATTTAAGATTATTATAACTACTGCACAAATTTAGCAGTATCAGGCTGGTGTGTCCTGGATGTTTGGATCATTTTATTGCTTGTAATTTTCATAGGTGCTTTTTGGGGGGGTATTGGGGGAATTTTACCTTTATTCTAAGAATATCAGGCTTGGTATTTTTTTAAATGCTGTTTATTAAATTCCAGGTGTGCTGTTTATGATGAAAACAGCGTAAAGCCTTGCACTCACAGAAATTGACTTCTTACTAAGATGTGAACATCTTTTGAGATGTTTTAAAATTGAACATGCAAACAAGTGTTATAAACAGCATTCAGTGTATTCAGCCTCATTAATCTACATGAATTTCAGTGATGCCTAGAGTTTTAAAATGGGCACAAAATCAAACAAATACAACTCGTCAAGACATGCTGGAATGGTAACTCACTTGTGTTTGGTTAAATACTGTATTTCCTTACTATGACACATTGAGGATTTAATGTGTCAATAATTTGCAATAATACGATATTTATGTGTCAATAATTTGCAATAATGTGAAGTTTACAGATCTAAACAAACAAAGGACATTCAGAATATCCCTTTGCTTGCCTGGAAACCTGTTTCTTCTTTAACACGATGTCAGTTTTTATGTAGACAAAGCAAGTCTCTTTGTGTCATTAAACAGCATTAAAAAATTATTTTAGCAAATTCTGGCTCAAATTTCCCTGACATGAAAAAGTTAGAGCTGTTTAAAAATGTAAACAGTTGTATTATAATGACTCTGATGCCTCTGGAACTGGGGATTGTGTTATCAAGGCAAGACTTATGTTTTATTTTTCAATCACATAAGTATAAGGTAACTCATTTACCACAAATTAAATGTTACTTTAGTGGAGTAATTTTCCAGTATGCTTTATTGTCCACTAATTTTTAACATTACTTTTCCTGTGGGGAATAATCGCTGGTTTAGGGCTCCATAATCTTTCCCAGAATATAAACAAAACTATTGCTCCAGACGCTGAGGAAGAATTAATTAGAAACTTTCTAATTGAAAAAGTTACAAATGTTTTTGTAACGTTTTTTGTAAAACGTTACAAAAATATTACAATTAAATTAAAATATATTTTAATTAGAAAATTTATAATAAAAAATACTTGCATTTTACGATATTTCCTAATGCAGTTTTGACTTTTATTTTGAAAATCCAAAACGGAAGCTGCTTTAAGTGGGATTTCCGGTAATGTTTATCACCAAAGAAACGAGATGAAATCTGCCGAAGATTTACCCGTTAGAACATAATGTGAGTGTTTTTCTGGTTATCTCTGACCTTATGCTGCAGTGTGGATGCAAACGGGTGGTTTAATGAACCAACCAGTCAACTAACAAGGTTAGATAAAAGTCTTAACTGTTGTTACGAGCGACTTGAATAAAACGTTGCTAACGTCCAGAAACGAAACAAAAACCAGCTGATTTCTAGAACAGTTTTCTATTACTAGTAATTTAACAACACCTGCTTTGTGTGAATGTCATTGAATAACGACGGCAGTGTATTTTACCGTTTTCTGTAAATCCAAAGTTGTTCACCGCTAACAGGAAGTAAAATGTATGGGAAAAGCAAAACCAAACGAGAGTGACGCATCAGAAATTAAATAAGTCAGACCACCAGTAAGATTCAGGACTATATTAAAAATGTTACACAGTTTCCCTGACAGTGAAAAAGCAGTTATGTGTAAATAATGTTTGTCTCAAACTTCTCGGAGCTTCCTTTTGTTTCGAGGGTCTAATTTATAAATTCAGCTGCTTGATTGTTTTTAGGTTGTTGACGTACCTAAAACGTCACGACTTGACGACTTTTAGGTACGTCAACAACCTAAAAGTCCAGAATATCCTAAACAGACTGTTGGTATGAAAACATTTGTTCTAACTTAGTTTAGAACAAATGACGTAATTTTTTAAGTAGAATTAGGGGACCTGTTTATTTTATTGGGGTTTTGTGGTCAAGAACTCTGAATATAATAATATTTATTTGTATATTTGACCTTTAACTGTAATGAAAACATTCGTACTTGCATGATGTTACTCAGGATGAGTTCATGCACACTCAGCTTTTCTCTGCTGGCTTCCTGTCAGTTTCCAGATAGAATTAAAATGTTTCACTTTGGAAGTATTCAGTTATATTTACAGATAATCTCTGTTAGTAATACTGAATCTCAGGTCTGCAACTCTCCATGTTACAAAGCTACTTGCTTTATTTGGTTTGCATTTTTTGTTTGTACCATTAAAATGTGGTGTTGTTAATCAGATGTTGATTTTTAGCTTCAGAGTTAAACTAAAACTGAGTGAAGACATTAAATAAATTGCACTACTTGTCAAACATTGCCACTTCGCCCATATGAGAAAGCGCTAATGGATGCTAGGAGCAGATGCAGCAGGGTCCATGCTAAATGTGATGCGTGTTTTCTGTCCGCAGGATGAAGCTGCGGGTTCGGATCAACCGGCAGACCAGCAGGGTGGAGTTACCAGGCGAGGAGCCCACCCTGCAGGAACTCTCGAATCTCATCAAGCAGACGCTGCTGTCTGATCATGGACTCAGGTCAGGCTTTACTTTTCTTTCTCCCTGTGAAGGCGCATACAGATGAAGGCATGTGTGCTGAGTTTGATCTTTGTGTCTGTCTCTGCTCAGCGCCGACACAGAGTTCAGTTTGTCTCTGAACGGCTCAGAGCTCCTCTCAGAATCCAGTCAGACTCTGTCATCCTGTGGAATCGTTTCTGGGGATCTGATCTGTGTCCTTCTGCCGCAGCCGCCACCTGCTGCCATGGCAACCTCAGAAAGGACCACAAGCTCCACAGAAACAACCAGCCAGGAGGATACCAACAGGACCACTAGCCAGGTGAGATTATATTGGGTACATGAAGGAATTCTGGCTGAATAATCCAAACTCATTTCATGAGTTTGATGTAGAGTGAGAGTTCTCCTCCAAACGACATCCAAGGTGTTAAATTTTAGTTTCTAAATCTGCGTTCACAACCCTCACTAACTCCAGCGTCGTCTCAGTTTTCATCAACAAACTGCGGGAAAATAAAAGTGTTTGGTCCATGAAGCGTTCAGGTGAAGCTCTGGAATCAGCATTTTTGGCTTCCAACAAACTGTCAGAGCTTTGAGCAGCCAGTAAAACTTAAATTTGGTTTTATTTTCTTTTAGAAAGTAGGGCTGAAATGTAGTTGATGTAATAATCATTAACTACTTTAGTAATTGGTTACTCATTATCTTCAATATACAGACAGGCCATTTGCGAAAAGAACAACATATAAATAGCAGAAATTAAGCCACAGTATATATGTTTTAGCTGCAGATGCATCCTTTTCTACAAATAATCAAGTGTAAACTAAACAAATGCTATGATATTTAATTTTAGGCTAAAATGTATTTATACTGTATAAAATAAATGTAAGTGATGTAATGAAAAATCTGCACAATGTGCTAATTTTTTTCGATTAATTGATTAACTGTCAAAATAATTGATTAATCAATTACTAAAGTAATGTTTTTTTTCACCTCAATTTGAAAATCAAGGAATGACTACAAACGTTTTTACTGTTTTAGTGTGACGGGTAATTTGATATATCTGGAACATCTGCTGTGAAAATGCATAAAACGACTGACCCTGACTCATCTCTCACTTCAGTATCCAAATTCAGATGATTTTCCCAATTTAGAAAATAACAATACTTTATTTGGATACATCCTGACGGTTTTGTTCTGGTTCTGTTGTAGGACAGCAGCAGCCGTCAGTCGTTGCAGGCCTGCAACATGCAGAGCTGTTCAGCAGCGCCCCCTGTCTGGGAGCCCATGCTGTGCAGCGAGGCCGAGGACGGTGAGGCTCCTCTGTCCCTGGAGCTGCTCTACCACACGGCCCAGACCAGCAGCCCCAACGACGCCATCATGGTGGTAGCTCATCTCCTCATGCTGGAGACTGGCTTCTCCGCTCAGGTGAGGCTGTGGGACACGCCGGTCCTTCTGCTTCCTGTGGATCACAGCTGGATCACTGCTGGATCTGCTCTGTGTTCAGGGCAGCGAGCTGAAGCCTGGGGAGATGCCTGCAGGGTGGAGGTCTGCGGAGGGAGTCTACAGGCTACATTACACCCATCCTTTATGTGAAAACAGTCTGGTGACGGTGGTGGCCGTGAGCATGGGCCCCCTGCTGGTCCTTAACGGTAACTTCACTCTTCTGCTCCTGTTTTAGCTGATTCAGCCTCAGATCATTTACTTTTGGTTTTAGTCTA